TTCTTTAGCTAATATCTGAAGCATTTAAACAAAAAAACAAAATGGGGGGGTGTGCCGCGAACGAGCACATATAGGCGCACACAACCCGCAGATGCAGCAGTGCCGTCCGTCCGTTTTTCTACTACGGGCGGACGGCAAGAGGTTAAAAGCACCAAATATTTCCTGCATCCACAGTCGCATGCCTGGTCCTCTATAGACATTTATTTATGTATTATTGGCATTTATATAGCGCTGACAATTTACACAGCGGTTTACATTTGCATATTCACATCAGTCCCTGCCCTCGAGCAGCTTACAATATTAGGTCCCTATCTCACATACATACATAGAGGAGCCAATTAACCAAGCAGCATGTCTTTTCTGCAAAGCAGAACTGCTAACCATTCCCATTGGCTGGGCAGCAGCAAGTCTTCTCAGGTTCCAGATGATTGCAGCAGCTTGATGATGAAAAGAAGAGGGGAGGCAACAAGACTGGCCTGGGGTGGATCCATACTCCACCACTGGTCTTCAATCCCAGAAGAGGCACCAGCGAGGGCCACCTGGTGGTGGGCTTAGGGCCCGTTCACACCACATGCAGTGCGTTCCGGCACGATTCTGGCCAGAACGCACTGCCTCGCATTGCGGTCGGCTCACTTTTTAGTGGGGCAGGAGGGGGCGTGGTGGGCCATTGAAGTGAAAGGCACCGTAGCCATGTCCTCCGGCCGCACGGGATCGTAAGGCACTGGTCCGGTCCGGTGCGATCAAAATAGTGCTTGCAGTATTTTTTCATTTTTTTAAATTAAACTGGTGAATCGATGGAAGGGGCCTGGGATGAAGAGATAGTAGGTGGGGTATGGTCATCCAGAGGTAAGCTTCAAAGCCCAGAGGCTGTACCCAAACTTTTACTACATTACACTAATTATAGCAAATTCTGGTTCCGAAAATTGTATTTACATTTTATTATTCAACAGTAAATGTAACCGTAATTTAAGTTATAGCTTTCAACAGTGGTGTGGAATTTTTTTTAAAAAACTACTTGTCCAAGGACTAAAGCGGGGGCCCAATCTACTTGTCCCTCATGACCTCGCTGAACGAGTGCTCGCAATTTTTGAGGGAAATTCAAAATCCATAGGGCAGGGCTGTGCTGGACAGCAGTATGGGGTACAGATAGTACACCCGTACATGCGAAGGGGAAGGACCTTGCGCCGAATGGTAGGTATAGTGTTGGAGGGGGAAATGTGGGGAGAGGGGGCCAGATTTAAGTGGGTAATTCCATTTTCCCAAATTGTTTGGGAAAGTGAACTTACCCTTTAATGCACATTGTGCATGTTAGAGGGCACTGCTTATTCACATGCAGATGGCGGTCTTTCTTTTATTGTTTTTTACTTCATCACTTAATCTTTTTATTTTATTGTTTACTTTTTTATCTCTTTTTAATTGTATTATTTTTTACTGTTTTATTTTTTTATTTGATTTTTTTACTTTTTTTTAAACCTAACTTTATTACAATCACACAGGGGATAACAAGCCCCTATGTGATAGTGTTTGGAGGTGGCAGATTCCCCTTACGGAACCTGCCCTCCAACACAGAACGTTGAGCAACTGCATTGTGCTCAATTCTGTGCAGCCTGTGACAGCTGAGATAGGAGGTACTTGTGAGTACAGCGCTACTGTCTCACTGATCACAGAAAAAAGGTCAGAGAATGGATGTTCTCCGCTCTGCTCCCCGCTCTCCATCCTGAAATGATTTGAAGCCTACCGTCTTGTTCTCTTCTTCAAAGATCGATCTCAAACAGCCTGGTATTTTTGGGGTCATTATGCTGCTGTAAGATGAACCCCTGACCAATATGGCATACACCAGAGGGTATTGCATGGCGCTGCAACATGCTGTGGTAGTAGTTTTGGTTCAGGGCACCACTCACTCTGTGTAAGTCGCTGACTCAGAAAAAAAGCCCAGATCATCAAACTTCCTCCTTCATGTTTGACAGTTGGTGTCACACATTGATGAACCATCCTTTTGCCTATATGACGGTGTACAAAAACCTTGCATGATGAACCGAAGATCTCAAATTTTGATTCGTTGGTCCATAAGACCTTCTTTCAGACTTCAGGGCTTGCTCACACTAATTACAGTGCGTTCCAGAGTGGTAGCTGCTGGAATACACTGTAATCGCACACTAAACTCCCTCCCTGCATTCTGGGATAGGAGGGGGCGCGGCCGTGCATTCAAGTCAGTAGCTCCTTGACCTCACTTCCTCATGAGAATCCTGTTGATCTGTTATGATGGACAACCTCCCTGAGCAATAAGAAGAAATACTTTCTATATTATATTTATGTGCTCTCTCTGTAATTTTTTAGTTTTTCATAGTTATGTAGGTATAATGATTACTGCTGTACATGTTTCTTGAAATCTTCAAATATTGTTATAAGTTAATTTTATACCAGCAGGTGAGTGGATTTCCAGTTTTTCTCTATGAAATGCCATTGAAGCTGCTTGTATGTTAACCTGGTTAATTCTTGTATGAGATGTTTAGGTAAAATGCTTAATAAAAAATTACTGGAGCCAGAACAACTGTTTTTATTGTATGTGTGTGGTATTGGATTCTGTTCTATCCTTTTTCCAGGAGACTCTTATTTTTCTGTTCACAATAAAGCACATAATAGCCTGGATTATCTAAATTGTAGGTGATAACAGATGGGGAAGAAGTGAATGATGAAGATATAGGACACCCACATGTGTATTAGTTTCATATGAATTATTTCTTGTGGTCTGATGAAAACTAAATAGAAAAGACAAGAATGTGATGAATAGCCAGCGTGTGAAAGATTACAACAAATGGCAAACAGTTTAAGATGTGCACAGATATAGAGACATGCCAGTTGTACCTTATGCCTTTCTTCGTATTGCAGCATCTATAATTTAGAAGATCATTTCTTCATCTGTGCCACTTAAGTTCTTCATAAAGCTCATTGTTTTAGGGATATACCGATACTAGTATCGGTATCTATGCTGATACCGAGTATTTGGGCGAGTACTCTTACTCGCCCAAATGTTCTGATACTTACTACAGATAAAGGAGATTGCCTCGCCGCTTGGCTTCCTGTTTGGCCAGGAAGTCGTCTCCATGCTGTTTGGCCGGTTCGATGTTATCGGTGCCGATACTGGGCATTTTCACGAGTACTCGATACCCAATACCAGTGCTCTAAACACAAGTGGCTGCTGTGAGGTCCCCAGCAACCCCAATGCGCTCCTTACAGCGCCGCTGGCTGCACATCTCCTCCTCCTATGGAACCACGCTGCCTGCCTCCAGTCCCCTGGTGAGATGCCACACAGCCCACATGAGAACCCGCACAGCCCACATGAGAGCCCACACAACCCTGGTGAGATGCCACCTCCTAAGATGCCTCCTAATGCTCTCCTAAGATCCTGCGCATACCAACATAGAGGGTCTACAGCCCTTCTGAGACTCTGCACAGCCCACCTAAGACCCTGTACAGCCAACCTGAGAGCCGTCACAGCCATCATGAGACCCTGTATAGCCCACCTGAAACCCTGTTCAGCCCACCTGGGAGCCATCATGAGACTCCTGACAGCAGTATCGGGGAGTACTTGCGGAAAAGAACGGGAACCTGTACTCGGTCTGGAAAGAATTGCATTGGTGCATCCCTTGTATATATATATATATACTGTATGTACAACCCCAGTTCCAAAAAAGTTGGGATGCTGTGTAAAATCTGCAGAATGTAATGATTTGCAAATCTCATAAAACCGTATTTTATTCACAATAGAAAACATATCAAATGTTTAAACTGAGAAAATTGACAAGTTTAAGAAAAAATAAGGTAATTTTGAAATTGATGCAGCAACACATCTCAAAAGTTGGAACAGAGACATGTTTACCACGGTGTAGCATACCCTCTTCTTTTATCAACACTCTTTACATGTTAAAAACCCTTCTGAGTTTCTCAGTCACCCCAGCTGAGAGTGAGACATCTTTTGTCTGCCACATACAATGCTGTTCTAACACCTCTCCCTGGGCAGGTTAATAACACCTCCAAGACTCCAATTATGCGACTAACAGATTATGTGGATTGAAGCGACATTCACCACATTTATTCCCAGATAATTTTTTGTAGAAGTCATTCTGAATTGAGAAAGCTGGTTGGATGACCAGTGAAACGTCTTCAAGAAAAATACAGCAAGTCCAGTTGCCTTGACTTATTTTTTACAGACATTCTTGGTAGATTCACCCTTTGTATTGCAGTATTCACTGAGCCAGAACATGGACAAGAAAATAGGGTAATCCTCCAAATGAGACAACTGTTTTATTGACAACTAAGAGAGTTCCCCTCACTTCCTACTGGGACAGGATGTGAAGGAAAATCTCCCTAATAGGACACAGGCAGCAGAAAAATGACTTACAGAGGTTTTAATCCTTCGCTACTCTATCCAAAATGTAAAAGTGTTTTGGCTATATCTTTTCTTGTATTATATTTTATTGGTTACATCTCAACATAATTAGTGATTAAGAACTGATATTGCATTAAAGGCATTTATGTAAACATCAAAGAATAGAGGGATCTTTATTTTTATGTCTGAATTGTGTATTCACGTAGATGAAAAGTACATGCAAGTATTTATCATTGTTGAAGACATAGATGAATGAAGTTAATATTTTACTAAGACTGGGTGACCTTTTCCATGTTAAAGTCTTTGTTCTGCAACAAGACATCAAACTCATATTACTCAGTTCTGCTAAGGTTTCTCTTAGGAATGAATCTGTTTTCAAGTATCAGATATTAATGTTACCCCTAACACACTGCTTAGTAGTACGCTTGCTCAGGCTGTCATTTTGTGCCAAAAAAAAAAAATGAAGATTTTGTTTCATGAACAAAGAACGAAAATCAATGGTATCATATTCAGAAATGAACAAGCTGTTTTTGGTCATGCCTTCTATGACATACTTTTATTTAGTGATAAAGCTGCATTGTTTATTAATTGCAGCTATTCTCTATTGCAGGATCTCTTTTCAATCAATGCTTATGTTTATGCTCAGAAGCCACAACTGGATATTCACAGTTTTGAAGGTAACTTTACACGGGTACGTAAACGCTTTCTCTTATTTTTCATACACACACAATATGCCCAAGAGACAATATTGCATTGACTGCAGAGCATGGGAGGCTGGGCACGTACAGCAGTGTGAACTGCACCTGTATAATCTGCCACCTCAGAAGTTATTACTTTATTCAGAAATCACTTATACTGCAGTCTCGACACATTTGCCTGTCACCTGATGTGTTCAAATGATTTGTTACTTTTGTAATTTTAATAATTAATTTTAGGGATGCACTGTATTGTCGGGAACATTTCGGCCAACAATGGCACTTTTGGGCAAATGCAGAAAGTACCATGACGGGCGAAAATGCTGGGCGACCGTCTCTGTGCCTTCTGATGCAGTGGCTGGCGCCCAGCGGGGAGGAGAAAAGCTTTCAGGAGGTAGAGCGGGCAGAAACAGCAGTCAGGATACCGAGCGGGGCTGGGCTTTGACAGCTGTCATTATTACAGGAGGCGGAGCTCTCCTCCCACATCTCCCAGCTCCACCTCCTGTCAGGATGGAGAGCAGTGAGTGGAGGCGAGCACTGTGATCTGTCACAGGAGGTGGAGATCCCCTCACGCAGAACCTGCTATGCCTCCTGTGACAGCGGATTCAGGATGGAGAGTGGTATACAAACACTCACCGATTAGCTGATAGTTGAGTGTTTGTAAAAAAAACTGGACATAGTGTGCTTACTATGTCCCAGTTATGAATAAAAGGGAAGTAATCTACATCACGTCCTTTGCATTCATGATTGTGGACATAACTGATAACAGTGACTGATACTATAGCCGCAATCTATGAATGGCCAGGGACTCTTAGTATAGAGGCTTCCTGTTTATTCATAACAGGGGCTGCAGAAGAAGAGATTGAGAACTCTGTGTCCTCAATCTCTTTTTCTCTTATAAAAGGGAAACATCAGGGATCTGTTTAGACCCCTGATATTTCCCCAGTGCCCCCAGCAGTAAAGTAAAACAAAGAAAAATAAATACAAATAAAATAATTTCAAATGTATTAAAAAGGTTGAAAAGAAACATTGTCAGTTTTGGCCTGACAATTTTTTTATTTTCAGTTTCGGTCTCAATTTTCCATTTCGGTGCATCCCTACTGAATTTATATGATTAGCCTGATGTTAAGACTGCAACTGTATTAGCCTTCCTCACCAATAAAATGTACATATACCATATATATGTGTGTGTGCATACATATATATAAATCACATCTGGTATTGAAGGGGTTTTTTGCTTTAAATCCACTCATCTCCACAATGTGAATGCCTTGATAATTAAAAAATAATGCACAGCATCCAGTGAGATACAAGTTTTATGCTATCACTTACTGAGCCCCCTTTTTTTCTTGTATTTGGTTTACTGCATCTTGCAAGCATTCAGATAGATCCAAATAATTATTACTGAAGTTGAAACTTAACTTCAGTCTGTTTTGACCATTTGTACACATGAAGTGTATGAAGAGCATAAGGATAATCATGCTGTATAATTGCTGATTTAGATGGTACCTGGGAAACAGAAAGGTAGGGGCCAGTGATATGTTGTATATTCTTTTTGAGCCAGGTTTGTATGGGAGTGATGGGGGGTTGCTTTCTGGTTGCAATGGGACACAGAAGATGCCCCATGTGTATGTTGTTTAAAGCAAATTAGCCAGTGAACCAATGAGAAATCCTTTCAGGTAACGTTCAGCCATTTAGAGATCCCTGCACATACCTACAACAGCCTTCAAGCCATGAATACTGCACCAAAGTAAAGTATAATACTTGTATAATTTTATGAGACAGAAATGAGAGTCTAATTGCACTTAACCAACTCTTTATTATACAAAAAATATAGGTCCATGTTTTACAAAAACACTTTAAAAATGACAGTTCTGTGATTTCAAATCCCAGAAGGCCAGAGTACCCCCACATTCACCAGCACACACTAATTGGGAAATATCCCACAGTATTATACTGAGTGCCACTTTGTCACTCCTGAAGATAAGCTATTTGAACACATATCCATAATTGGATGGATATCCTTCTCTTGGTTTCTATTGATATAGCATCCAAGGTATTGCAACTGTCCCACATCTAATGCCAATGGATCCTTTATTCCCTAAATTACTTAATAGTAAACAAGTTGAATTCACCTAGTTATGCTTCTCAAAGTTTGAAGAATATTTTGTGTATAGGCTTTAAAGTACTGCTAAAGGCTTGGGCTTGATGTTTTTTACCTTCATTTCAGCAAAATTGGGATACCTAAATTTATATCTCTCGAATGCTCCCTAATTTTAATACTCATCTGCCTTTTTGTCATTCCAATGTACTTTAGATTACATGGACCAATTAGTTGATACATTGTTGTGTAACAATGTATAAAACTATTTGTTATGCTGCTTAGAATCATCAAAGTTTGAAAAATAAAATTCCCACTTTAACTGCCACCGGTTATAAAACCCCCAGTGGTGATTAAATACCACCAAAAGAAAGCTCTATCTGTCCCCAAAAAACGGTGTAAAATTCATTTCAGTACAGCGTTGCATGACGGAATAAACGTCAGTCAAAGTACCGCAGCACTGAATACTGAAAAATGGCCTGGCCAGGAAGGGGGTCTAAACACCTGGTCTTGAAGTGGTTAACATACATGAACTCCTTACTAAGAGATCTCAGCTATTTCCTCATCTTCTTGCTGTTACTTTGGGACAAGGACCCTACTGGACCTAACAGGAGCACAAGCCAGGGATTCTGTAAAATCTCCTTCACATTATTCAATTTTTTCCCACTACATACAGTTGTATGTAGTAATATTCCTACATTTCCATTCACTTTCTTTTCTCTTGTGCTTTAACAGCTCTACCTGATCAATATGCCCTTCTAAATCCTTCAAATCTCTTTACAAGGATGCCTCCTATTCTGGAATCTCATCAACAGTTCCCTAGATTTATTTGCATAAATGCAGTAATACTAATACTACCCAATTAGTATAAACAGCTTTTGGGCTCTGCAGATGATAACTGGCCATGTGGTATATATTGTGCCTTTTATTTTTTTTTTAAATGTGACTTGTATTCTTTGTATAATGAATAGTGTGCCGAGTGTGACTCTATTTTCATCTATTGGAATAAAAAAGCTCCAGCACTTCCTTGTAGTGTTTAAAAAAAGGGGGGAAAATCTCACATGTCTTAATTTGTTGTAGATTTTGCCTCACCACTAGTTGGATTGCTGCAATTATTTTCACCTTGTGATTTACCTGGTTGATCTGTCATACCTAGCACAGCCAAAAGAAGAGACAGGAAGCATGGTCAGTCCTTGAGTTGCTGATGCTGTGTCAGAGATGGTTGTGCAGTTGAGCAGTGCACTGTGCACTACAAGGCTGTACATGCTGCCGCAGTGTGCGTCAGCACATAAGCTTGTAGTTTGCTGCAAGTGCGCACATACCACGGTGACAACAATACTTTTTCTTAGGGAGCAGCTAAAGGAGCATTGTCACCTTGCAGTAGGAAGAGGAACTATGTGTAATTGTCTGAAAGCAAAGCATATAGATACTAAAGTGAAAACACCATTATTAGAGCATGGTAAGCAACAGTTTTTTTTTAAAATTAAAATGTTCATGTTTAAATGGACTTTAAAGCTTAACGTTAATAGTGTGCAAAATATTAAAAGGCAGGATAAGGGACTACATGCAGGAATTTGCGAATAAAACTGGTATCATAAGTAGTAGCCAACATGGCTTCATGAAGGACTGTTCTTGTCAGACCAATCTATTAACATTCTATGAGGAAGTCAGCATTAATCTATACAGAGGAATACCTGTAGACATTGTGTATCTGGACTTTGCTAAAGTATTCGACACAGTACACACAAAGATCTTTTCTCTGCAGCCCCGAGTCTGGCTCGGGGTTACCGCTCCTGGTATGGAAAATTCACCCCGAGCCAGACTCGGGAATACCGCCAGGGAGGTTAAGAAACTAAGGTCTATTGCGTTGGATGAAATTGTATGTACATGGGTGGAAAATTGGCTGCAAGAACAGATCCAGAAGGTAGTTATAAATAGGTCATTTACTAATTTTCCAAAGTTTGTGAGTGGGGTGCTCCAGGATTCAGTCCTGGGACCGATCCTGTTCATCATTTCATTCATCCATGACATAGAGATTGGACTGAATAGTTTGATTTCGGTTTTTGTGGACGATACAAAACTGTGTAGGGCACTAAATTCCAAACAGGAGATATCTGGACTTCAACAGTACTTTAATAAAGTTGAGGCACGGGGCTACAAGATGGCAAATGTGATTTAAGGTTGAGAAATGTAAGGTTATGCACCTGGGGGCAAAGAACTTGCACAGACTACTACTTCGGGGTGCTTCATTAGGGAAGTCGGACATGGAAAAAGACCTGGGGATCCTCATAGATTTGGCAATAGTAAGCAATGCCAAGCAGCAGCCAGCAAAGCAAACGGGATACTGGCATGCATTAAAAGAGGGATTGTCGCAAGGGATAAAAGAATAATACTTCCACTTTACAAATCACTGGTTCTACCTCATGTTGAGTATGCGGTGCAGTTTTGGTCGCCAACTGTCAGGAAAGATGTGCTCGAGCTCGCCCTAGAGTTCAGCGAAGTGCTACACAATTAATTAAAGGGATAGACGGCCTGGGTTTTTAAGACTGCCTTCAGCAATTTAACTTATTCACCTTAGAAAAGAGGTGATTAAGAGGGGACCTATTGCAGTCTTTAAAATCATCAATGGGGACCATAATATTTGAAAACAAACTGTTTAATCCAAACTGTATTGAGAATACAGAGACACAACAGGAGGTTGAAGCAGATGGGTTCAATGTGATAGAAATCTGAATATTTACACCTCATGGAGTATGACCCTGAGACTGACGTGTGCATACTTCCCCACTTTTGAACTTGAAAACATGGGCCATTTCTCAAAGGGGCATAGCATGCTACGACAAAAAGTGTGGTCAGTGAAGTGGGTATGGCTATTTTGGTGTGGTTTAAAGAAAT